CCCCGGCGGCCCCCCCGCCACATCCAGCCAGGATGACCTTGCCAACCTGCCTGCCCATGTGGCCCGGTGGCCTCCTCCCTGGCAGACCCATCCAACTCTCCAGCCTGTCAGGCCTCACCCTCGGACCTGTTGACCTTCACCTCTGTTCCCGCTCAGACAGCCTCCTCCCCTCCTCACTGCGTTGATCCCAGAGCTCTCCCTGCCAGCCCCTCCTGGCCTGCCAGCTCTCCCTCCCGGCCACCGCCCTGCTCTAACACCTCCTCAGGTCGAGGACTCCGGACAAAGCCCTGGGGCCTCAGCCCAGCTCTGCTCCAAAGCCAGTTACCTCTGGTACTCTTCCTGAAGACACCCCACTTCTCTCCCCACCTTGTCTTTCCCTTGGCCTGCCCAGAAAAAGCCCTCAACATTCAAATCCTGTTTCTGGCGACCGCATTTGCCAGAGAAAGCCACATAGCCAAGCACACGGTGCAGCTCTTGCAGGCCCCGGTGACCTGGGATCTCAGCCTCCCAAGTCAGCTCCTCCGGCTCCCCAGCAGGTGTCTCCGCTTCCACCACCCACTCCTCCAAACCTCCGTTCCGTTCCCAGCACCCCCTTTGCTCTCTCAGCAGGCGCCTGTCCTCTCCAGAGAGGAGCTACGCCAGGCTCTGGTTTTTTGCCATAGGGTATGTGTACTCACCGGAGAGGAGAGACAGTGAGGGGGAAGTGAGAAATCACCCCCCAGCGGGATAGCCACACTACAATCCCTTCTCCATTCACCTCCTGGGATTTGGGGCATGCACATGCACACACCTGGAGTGATTTTCAAGCCTCCAGGTCCAGGACTCAAACTGCGGTCAGCGGTGTGGGAGTCCAGCACCGTAACCACTACGCCACCTGCTGGCCTCAGCCTGCTTCTCTCTGAGGCCACCTTATACACCTGGCCCTTTCCTCCCTCCTCCCTCTGCAGTGCTCTTTTCTTTGCTTCCTAAATGCTCAAATCTCCTTGGATACAGAAGAATCTCTTTGTGCTGGGGCCCTTCAAGCTGTTCTCTCGCCCTCTTGTTGCTATTCGTTTTAGAGCATGTGTGTGCCTGAGAGAGAGCGGCACCCTCCACGGGGGCCGGCCATGCCACGCTCACCTTCCTTCAGTCCTCTGACCTGCCTGGATCCTGGGCACACCAGCATGCACCTGGCGTGTATTCAGGCTGGCTGGGCTAGGGATTCGAACCGCTGTCAACTAGTGGCTTCCCATTCAACAATCCTGTGTTCTGCTGACTGACTGGGCCCAACTGTTCTCTTGCTGTGTGAAGCTAACTGCTTCCTTCTCTCCACCAAACTTTATATAAGTAGAGCAGTTATCGTATTAAAGACTTGTCACACGTCTTTCGACAGTGACATAGGGACCACACCCCCTGTTTCTGCGTCTTCTCCCAGTTAGGCTGCAACCAATCATGATCTAGTTTGGGCCTTCCTGATGCCATGAAAATGTTCTGTAAGCCGCTCTAGTCATCTCTGAGCCTCCAGGTTCGATGGCCTGTCTTCAGCCCCCATCCTTCTCGATAGTCTCCAGCATTTCAGACGCGTGGCTCTCCTGCGGGCTCGGGCCCCTCTCCTCCTTGGTTTGCGGCTGAGCTCTTCAGGGACCTGCCCCTGCCATGCCCTCTGCCAGGTTTATCTGACCTGGTTTATCCTCTCTCTTACAGTCTATAAATCAACACCCACCAAAATTCCCAGCAGCCCGGAGCTCTGCCCCTTTCTACTTGGCCCCAGGGTCTCTGTAGCTGGAGGCCCTATGGACGCCTCAAAGATTTCAGACAGGGCCAGTCCTCCTTCCCTAGAACCTGTTCCTTCTGCCCTCACACCTGCCCAGTCCCAAGCATAGAAATCCTACATGTGGCTGCAGTGATGTGCACTACTGAAACACTGTGCTCTGGGGCCAGCAGATGGCATGGTGGTTAAGGGCAGTGGACTCCCACATGGCTGACTGTGGTTCGAATCCCGGACCTGGCACCTTACTTTCTCATTTTCTCTCTCTCTCTCACTCTGTCCCTTTCTGGTCAAATTAAAATAAAATAATTAAATAAATGGAAATAAAATGATTCTTAAACAAACAAACAAAAAACCCACCGTGCTCTATAAACTCAGACCACAAGGGAAGCTGGGTTCGATGCCCCGTCCAGTGTAAATCTGGGCACAGTGGTGTGCACCTGGAAATCCAGTCACTTGGGAGGCTGAGACGGGAGGATCGCAAACTCAAGGCTGGGCTGGGAAATACAGTGAGAGAATCTGTCTAGAAAAGTGTCGGGCATGGTGGCACATGCCTGCAGTCCCAGCTGGGAGGCTAAGGCGAGAGGATCTGGGCATGGTGAGGTCTTGTCTCAAAAGGGGGAGGGCTGCAGGTTGTTTGGTAGTTAAGGCATTGGCTCACCACAGTTCGAGTCCCGGACCTAGTGGCTTGCTTTCTCACTTTCCCTTCCTCTCTCTGTCTCTCTGGTGAGTGCACATGGCCTATAGCAAAACTGAAATAATGATAATAATAAATAAAATTAAATAAATAATTTTGGGGAGTGATTTTTGCTCACCAGAGAGATAGAGACAGAGAGACAGAAAGCAAGAAATCACCCCCCAGGGTGGATGGCAACACCACAGTCCCTTCTCCTCCATTCTGTTCTCAGGATCTTGGGTACGCACGCACACGTCCCCGGCGTGAGTTTAAGCCACCGGGTCTGAGACTCGAACCATGAAGTCACCCATGCAGGATCCAGTCCCCTTAACCTCCACACCACCTGTTGGCCCCAGTAAATAAATATTTTAAAAAAGGAAGGGCCAGCACGTGTGTGTGCATGCATGCCCAAGATACCAAGAGGAGAATGGAGAAGGGATTATAGCAGGGGGTGATTTCTCACTTCCCTTCTCTCTCTCCTTTTTCTGTCTGTGTCTTTCTGGCAAGCGCATGTGCCCTATAGCAAAAAAACCCTACAAAGCAGTCATCTTCAACACCTCCATTCCCAGCACCGTCACCAGCCTCTCTTGGACTAACACAGCCTCCTTTCTGGTTTCCCTGCTCCTGCTCTGGCTCCACTCGGCCTTCTCAGCGTGTGGCCTAAAAGACTGTGAACATGTCACTTTCTAACCTGAGACTTTCAGATGGCAGGTAAGAAAAGCCCTTGTCATTTGGGGCATGCACACGCATCTGGTGTGATTTCCAAGCTACCAGATCTGGGACTCGAACCACAGTCAGCCATGTGGGAGTCCAGTGCCTTAACCACCATGCCATCTCAACTTTTTTTTTTTCCTAGATAGAGATGTTTGGAATAGGACCTGTGCACTTGCCGGAGAGCCAGAGAGAGACAGAAAGCAAGAAATCACCTCCCGGGGGGATGGCCATGCCACAATCCCTTCTCCTCCATTCTCTTCTCAGGATCTTGTTGTTTTTTTGGAAAGGTTTTTTCATTATAGGGCGTGTGCGCTCGCCAGACAGACAGAGAGAGACCTAGAGACAGAAAGCGAGAAATCCCCCCCCAGGGGGGATGGTCACGCCGCAATCCCTTCTCCTCCATTCTCCTCTCGGGATCTTGGGCCCGCACGCACACGTGCCCGGCGTGAGTTTTAAGCCACCGGGTCCAGGACTCGAACCACAGTTGACTATGTTCCAGCGACGTAATCATTATATCATCTGTTGGTTCCATCAACTTCTAATCTCAATTTCCAATCTCGCCCCCACTTCAATTTCTTACCTCAATTCTCTCCATCTCAACTTCTAGTCTTATCTCCTAGCATTCTTTGAGGTCTCCGGCCAGACACATGGACACGCTCCGTGGTAAGCTTACCCTCCTGAATGTCTCACATTCTCCAAACTCACACCAGGTCCCCTGGAAGGCTTTCCCTTCCCAGCCAGCAAACCAACAGCTTGCACCCCCAACCCAGCTCAGTTCTCACCTCTTCTCAGAAGCCTTCGTTAATATACTCCCCATCCCTGATTGGTTGTTCTGTCCTGTGCTGCCCACATGCTCCCCCCCTTGACTGGGGGGCTCTGCACATTGTGGGTTTCCCTTTGAGGTCATGTGAGCTCCTGCAGGGCCGGGATATTGCTGACACAGGCAGGCACTCTGCAAACCTGCCCTCATCTGCGCCAGCGCAAGCTGAGGTCCAGGCCCCAGGGAGCCCTTGGCACATGTGACGGGACATGCTTAGGCCTCCAATTCCCAGGTGCCAGCATCCGCTTCCCACTCGCCTGGACTCGGAGCTGGATCCCATGGCATGCAGCGCTTCCCGGAGCTGTTGCTGCAGTAACTTCTCTTGCTCAGGGCCCGTTTTTCCAGCTGCAGCCAGCCATAGCTGGGGGCCTTCCTCATCACTAGAGTCCCTGGAGAAGCAGCTGGTCTCAGTGGCCAAGAGACATCCTGGGGAAGGATGGCTGCACCCACTGACCCCGCAGAGCCCAGCCGCCCCAGCTCACAAAAGGACTCACAGCTCCAGGTCCAGGTCCCCCTGAGAGGAGAGGGCAGAGGCACACACAGAGCAGGTGTGGGCCAGGAGGCGGTAGCAGGCGAGGCAGTAAAGACCTGGAGAAGCCGAGAGGGGAAGGGGTGGGCCTGAGCTTACCCACCCACCCTGGTGTTCCCAGTTCTGGCCACATCTTGTCCTGTCCCACTTCTGGAGGGACTGTCTTTGTCAAGCGATGCCCACTAGGGAACTGCCTCAATGCCACTGGCAAATAAATGCCGTTCATACCTAGGAGAAAATGAGCGACCCCAGGGGCGGTATGCAAATGAGAACATGCATAGTAATGAAGGGAGGGCCATAAAGGAAAGCGCCCGGTTGACGGTCACATACAGGTACAGTCCTTGCAGGAGACGCGTTCTTCCCAGGGGTCTCACCTTGGCAGCCTGAGGTACTGCAGGACACGAAGCTCTCCATGTCCCCCTTGCCCGGGGGCTCCCCACAGCCCAGGCAGTAGGCCTGACGCTGCTGAAAGTAGCTGACAAACGGACCGAGGCAGGGGCACCTGAGAAGCGAGGTCGCACACTAAACCAGCCTGCCTGGCCCAGCCAGCACCCCAGCACCAGTCTCTGAAAGAAGGGAGGCCTCCCTGCAGTCTGACCTCCATCCGCTGACCGTGGTGACTGTCCCCCTCACTGCCCACCCCTAAGCACCCTATTCCTGCCTTCCCTCTCAGGCCCTGAGTGGCCGGGAATGGACATCTTCCACCAAATCTCTTCACACTTAGGGTCATCGCCCCTTCTGACATCAGCTCTTTTCTGTCCCCCTCGCCCCCGTGGGGAAGGACAGTGAGCTCACCGGCTGGCCAGCACTTGGAGGACACTCGCGCGCCCCTGGTCAGCTGCCCGCCGCCTCACTGCTCGGTGCAGGGCAGCCAGCGGGTTGGCTCTGCGGCTCAGGAGTGTGTTGTAGAGGTAGGAGATCCTCTCCTGGTGCGAAATCCGGGAGGGGCCACTTGATCCTGCTTCAGCAGCTCGGGTGCCTTCTGGACCCACCCCCACCCCTACCTCTTCATCTGTCCAACTCCTGTGAATCCTTCTAGGCTCAGCGCAAATGCCCCTTCCTCTGGGAAGCTTTCTGGACTTCCTCTGGCGGAGTTATCCCCTCTCCTCTGATTTCCATAGCTCCTTAGTCACTCCTTAAAACAAGCCCTTTTGTAATAGTAATGTCTTGTGGGGCCAGCACGTGGCGTGGAGGTTAAGACAGCTGGGTCCTACATGACCAGCTGAGAGGTTTGAGTCCCAGACTCAGCGGTTTGAAAATCACTTGGTGGGGAGGGGGACCAGCAGATGGCGTTATGGTTACGTCGCTGGACTCCCACGTAGTTGACTGCATTTCAAGTCCCGGACCCGGTGGCTTAAAACTCATGCTGGGCACAAGCGCATGCATGCACAAGATCCCAAGAGGAGAATGGAGAAGGGATCGTGGTGTGGCTATCCCCCCAGGGAGTGATTTCTCCCTTTCTGTCTCTCTGTCTGTCTCTGTCTGGCTGGCAATCACACGTGCTCAATAGCAAAATCCTCTTTTAAAAAATTACTTCAGGTGTGTGTGCATGTATGCCCAATATCCTGAGAGGAGAGTGGAGGAAAAGGGATTATGACACGGCCAACCCTGGGGCCGGGGTGATTTTTCACTCTCTCTCTCTGGCAAGTGCATGCACCCTATAGGAAACGAAAAAAGAAAATAAGTAAAAGTTACATCTTGTTAAAAGCCTCTCTGGCCAGCCTTGAGACTGTCTGATTCATCCCAGCAACCTTGGAAACCAGCACAGCACAGTGACTGGCATAGAGTAGATGCTCAGTAAGGGAGTAGTGATGGGCAAGCCCACGGCTTGATGGGTAAAGCAGTTGGATTCCATATGGCTGACTGCATGGTTCGAGTCCCAACCCTGGTGGTTTGAAAGATTTGCCAGGCGTCTGTGTGTTCATACCCCAAATCCCCAAACCGGGGAGAAATGGAGGGATTGCAGTACCATGCCCCACTGGGTGTGCTTTCTGCCTTTCCTCTCTCTGGCAAGCACATGTGCCCTCTAGCAAAACTTTTTTTTAATTAATAAATGAGTAAACAAATGTCCAGTTTCTATCCACACCTCAACATGCCGACAATGCCCCTGCTGCCCACAGAGTTTTTTTATTTTAACTGATACATAATATTTATAGGGTACAGTGTAATTCTTCAGTACACAAACACAACGTATAACGGAATCAGGCTAACTAGCATCCTCTCCAACTGTCATTACTTTGTGTTGGGAACATTCGAAATCCTCTCTTTGGGCCAGCCGGTGGCATGGGGGTTAAGATGTCTGGATCCCACATATCCAACTTCACAGTTCGAGTCCCAGACCTGGTGGTTTTAAAAAACACACGGGTGTGTGTAGGTGTGCCCAAAATCCTGAAAGGAGAACGGAGGAGAAAGGATTGCAGTGTGGCCACCCCTGCCCGGGGGTGCTTTGTCACGTTCCTTTTCTGTCTTTCTGTCTTTCTCTAGTGAGCACGTGTGCCCTCTAGCAATATTTTTTTAAAAATCCTCTCTTAGTGCTGCTGAAATAGGCAATAAATTACTGTTAACTATCATCGCGCTGCTGTGCAGTAGAACACTAAATTATTCCTCTGATCAAATTGTGATTCAATCAACATCTTTCTCTGTCACTCCCTACCCACCTGTCCCGGCCTCTAGTAAATATGGCTTCTACTCTCTGCCTCTGTGAGGTCATTTTAGTTTCCACATGAGAGTAAAAACATGTGACTTTTCTCTTTGTTCTTTGTTATTATTTCAATTTACCAGTGAGTGAATATGCTCACCAGAGAGAGGGGGAGAAGAAAGCACTCCCTCCCGCCAGCTGGGGCAGCCACGAGGCAATCTCTTCTCCATTTCTCCCTCCTGTCGGGATCTGGGGCTCCCCCACACATGCACAAAGTATGTTTTTCAAGTCTCCAGGGTTGAGATTCAAACCTCACAGTCGGCCATGTGGGACCCAGTTCCTTTAACCACTAGGCCACAGGCCTGGCCAATGATTTGTCTCTTTCTGCTCCTGGGTTATTTCACTTAATATAAAGTCTGTCATGTTGCCTCAAATTACAGGGATTTTATTCTTTTTAATGGCTGAGTAATAGGGGCTGGCAAGCGGCGTGGTGGTGAAGGTGCTGGACTCCAACATGGCCGACCACGGTTTGAGTCTCGGACCTGGCGACTTATTCTCTCACTTTCTCTCTCTCTCTCTCCTCTCATCAAATTAAAAAATAATAATAACAAGGGTTGGCAGGTGGAATGGTGGTAAGAGCGCTGGGTTCCCACATGGCTGGCCACAGTTCAAGTCCCGGGCCTAGTGGCTTACTTTCTCACTTTCTCTTTCTCTCTCTCTCTCCCCCTCTCTGGTCAAATTAAAATAAAGAAAGTTTAAAAATAATAATTTTTTAAAATTACTAACAAATAAAAAAAATTTTGGAGATATTTTTGCTATAGGGCATATGTGCTCACCAGAAAGATAGAGACAGGGAGATAGAACGCAAAAAATCAACCCCCAGGGGGGACGGCCATGCCGCAATCCCTTCTCCATTCTCCTCTTGGGATCTTGGGCACGCATGCACATGTGCTCAGTGTGAGTTTAAGCCACCAGGTCTAGGACTCGAACCACAGCCTACTACATGGGAGTCCAGTGACATAGCCATTATGCCAACTGCTGGCCCCAATAACAAATAAAATGAAATAAATAGATCAATATTTTTAAATGGCTGAGTAATATGTGTGTGTGTGTGAGGCTGTCAAGAAAGTAATGACGGACTTTTCCATGTTTTTCTGTGCAAAAATGCTTCGTGATTTTCCCAATGAAAGCAAAGCACCAGGCCCAGGACTCAAACCTCTGTGGGTCACGTGGGAGTCCAGTGCCTCAACTGTCATGCCACCTGCCGGTCCCTCCTCATTTCCCTTATCCATTCACCTGCTGATGGGCACTGGGCTGACGCCATCTCTCGGCCACTGTAAATAATGCTGCAGCACACCTCGGGGAGCAGCCGTCTCCCCAACACCCTGATCTCCCTTCCCTCAGAGCATGCCTACCAGTGGGGTTGCTGGATCCCCATGAGGGTTTTTTTTTTTTTTTTAATTGGGGGGGAGGATTCTTTTTAAGGTTTTTGTCATAGGACACATGTGGTTACCAGAGAAAGAAAGAGAGAGGGAAAGTGAGAAATCCTCCTCTCCCCCCGGGGAAATGGCCATGCCACGGGCCCTTCTCCCTTCTCCTCCTGGGATTTGGGCACACGCTTCGGTGTGATTTTAAGTCACCAGGTCCGGGACTCAACTGTGGTAGGCCATGTGGGAGTCCAGAGCCTTAACCAATACGCCTCCTGCTGGCCCCGATCCCTGCCGTGTTAACAAACTCGAGGCGAGCTATCTCAGGAAGCCCTGCCCTGGGAGCCACCATTTCTCCCAGCCCCACCTGGGGACCAGAGACCTGCCAGCCAGCAATCTGCTTTGGCGTTCGACCAGGGCAGTGAGAGTTGGAGTTGAACGACTTCCGGCTCCCCAAAGCCAAGAAAGATGGCCGCTAGCTCAGAACCGTGGCTGGGCAGGGGCGGCCGCCAGCGATGGCCCTCACCTGCTCCCGGGCAGGGTAGTAGGAAGCACAGATGGCGCGTCGCAGCCGGCAGATGTAGTTGCCAAACAGAGTGACGAAGAAGCACAGGCCGTACATGGCGCCTGGGGGCACAGGACCAGGGCACTTTGCAGTGGGCACCAGGTGCCACCACAGCCCTGCCAGTCGTGCCCTCAGACCCTGAATGTGCCCCCGGGGAGAGGATGATACCGATGACTATGTAACCAGTGGCGTCAGGCTCCGAGGGTCGCAGGAGGCAGCGCCGGGACAGGATGCTGACGTTGCCTTGTTGCAGGACGTTAAATGCCGACACCAAGTCCCGGTAAATATTCCCGGTGTAGCCGGTCCCTTCCACGCTGATCGATATTACCACGGGGCCTGGTGCAACAACACCGTGTGAGACACTCGTGGTCGTGTGTCCGCCCACACAGAGCTCTCACGCCTTCCCGAGGGTGGGAAATAGGGCGCGGCCAGTCCCAGGGACAGCCCACATCTCAGCCACACCCACACGGTGCCCTGGCCCTGCCCCGGCCCTGGTCCTGCTAGGTGAGTTGGTGCCTGGTCTGCCTGCCCAGGCCACCAGATCTGAGATGACCTTAATGGTTAGAGAGTCGAACCCTGTGCCTCCATGACCACCCAGAAGCATTGCTTTTTTTGTTCTTCTTTCTTTTTTTTGGAGAGGGTTTTGTTATAGGGCGCGTGTGTGCACCAGAAAGACAGAGAGACAGAGGGTCGGGGGGACATCCAGGGGGATGGCCACGCCGCAATCCCTTCTCCTCCATTCTCCTCTCGGGATCTTGGGCATGCACGCACACGTGCCCGGCGTGAGTTTAAGCCACCGGGTCCGGGACTCTAACTGTGGTCAAATACATGGGAGTCCAGTGACATAGCCATTATGCTAACTGCTAGTCCTTTTCTTTTCTTTTTCTTTCTTTTTCTTTTTTTTTTTTTTTTACGTTTTTGCTATAAAGTGCATGCATGCACCAGAGAGAGACAGAGAGGAAAAGTGAGAAGTCATCCCCCACCAGGGGGTGATAACTACCCCCTAATCCCTTCTCCTTCAGTCTCCTCTCAGGATTTTGGGCACAAAATGCCAGCATGATTTTCAAGCCATCAGGTCCAGGATTTGAACCACACACTCCATGTGGGATCCAGCACCTTAACCACCACGTCACCCAGCTGGTCCAGATTTTCTTTTCTCTTTTTGCTGGGAAAAATGGCTTTGTCGAGGTGTTGGTGAGGATGATGTCTCCTCCTCTCCTCTCCTCTCCTCTCCCCTCCCCTCCTCTCCCCTCCCCTCCCCTTGCTTTTCATCTCTTCTCTTTTCTCGTCTCTTCTCTCCTTATGACAGAGGATGCTGGCGCGTAAGAGGAGAGAGAAGCACCGAGAGAGCATCCTAAACACAGAGGTCCCTTTTCCTCGGCCCTCCAGCTCCCAGGATCCTGGGCATCTGTGTGTGGCCAGCCCATTTTTAGACCAACCTGAGGGTCCAAACCTGTGGTGTCCATACGACTTCCAGGGCCCTCGTGCTGTCGCCGCCCCACAGTGTCTTCCTGAGCACTGCCTGGGCGGTGAGTGTGGGACAGGTGCCAGACCAAGCGCCTGCGTGCTGGGCTCTCTGGCTGCTGGTTTCACCTGACCGTTGGACCTCTGGTTCACAGAATTAGATCACTCATGTTTTTTGGCTTCTGGCACATTCTCAGTCAGTGGTCTATCAGGTGCTCAACCCACATCGTTTCATTTCCTCCAGGGGAGTTGCTGCCATTGTTACCCCATTGTTCAGATGAGGAAGCTGAGGCTCTGAGGTGTCAGTTAAGCAGCTTGCTGAAGCAGCTGTCTGTTAAAGGACAGAGCTGGGATTTGAACCCAGGCCAGCCTGAGTCTACAGTCTGTGTCTTTAACGACTCTGTTATATTATAACCTTGACCTGGACACAGAGGCTAGAGTTGGAAAAGGGACTGGTGAGCAATAGTGACATGGGGACATTCAGGGAGTCCCCCAGGGTTGCAGGTGGGAAAGAGGGGACAGCTCGACAGAGGGCACGGGAGCAGGGGAGGGGCTGCAGCAGGCGGGCAGCCGGGTGGAGGCACTTACTGCGGGCCACGACCTCCCCCTGCAGCTGGTGGCGGGCCAGGTCAAGCACCCAGAAGACGGCATAGTCCAGGAAGACCAGGAGCAGCACGAGGAGCAGGTGTCGGGCGAAGCTGAAGGTCTCCAGGATGCAAAAAATCCGCTCCCATCGAGACAGGAAGAAGGAGCCTGAGAGGGTGGGGTAGTCAGGAAGGTGCTCCCCACTCTCCCCCCAGCAGACTCCAGCTCTGGAGTGGGCATCCGCTGGGGTCTGCTTGTTCCTCTGGAAGGTGGGGAGAAGCTAGGGAGAAGTGGCGGGGGTAGGGGCACGAGTCAGCCTCTCCACCGGGCCGATGTCCATTCCGTCTCCAGGGACACCACCACATCAGCACACTCGTACTTCTGGCCTGCACCCCCAGAGAGCCCTCCCCACAGCCTTCCTTGCTGCAGCTCCACTCCCCGCTCTCCTTCCCCCTGTCCCGACTCCCAGGTGCCTCCAGAAACATCTGCCTGTGTCTGCCTGCTTTCCCCTTTCAGACGAAGGCTCCCCGAGAACAGGGCCGTGCCACCCCTCGGCCTGAACTTTCCCTGGGCCCTGGGCTAGGGCTGCCGGGCACGGGCCTTAGATCTGGGCAGTGGTTGGGGCAGCCCCGGCCTCCCTGAGAGCCCCGGTGGCCAGGCACCGGGATGCTCTGCTCACTCGGCAGGATGTAGCGCCGGGCCTCGTGAGCGCTGAGCGGCAGCACCGTGGGCAGCCCTGCCCCGGCGCGGACGGCCTCCAGGTGCAGGAACCGGCGGGTGATGTAGATATTGTCGAAGCTGTCCCAGTTCAGGTAGCAGTACCGGTAAAACAGGGCTCTGGCGGGGGAGCACAGTCACCAGACCCGTAGGCAGCCCTCGCCCCACCACGCCAGCTCCTGCAGCTCTCCCCGATCCCAGCAGCCGCTCACTGGAGGTAGAGGAGCGTGAGGAGCAGAGGCGTGGTGTAGCCCAGCAGGGCCAGGGCCTCCCGGGCGCGGTGCAGCTTCATGCTGATAGCCTCATGCAGGTCCAGGGCCACCTGCGACAGGCTCCGTGAAGCGTTGAGGTCCACAGAGAAGTAGTGGGTGGCTGTCACATTGAACTCAAACTCCCGACGCACCCGGTTAATCAGCTTCATCACAGCTGGGGCCGCAGGGCCAGGACAGAGGGGAGCCGGGGATGAGGATCTGCCCCTGGGGAGGGCCTGGCACCACTACCCAGGAACCCCCAGGGCTTGCACTCCAGGAAACTGGGGGACAGAAGCCTGCATGCTGCGTACTGTGGCCACTTCCTGCCCCACACCCAGCGTCACGCCTGCGACGCAGCAGGTCTCCATCACCAATGGTCTCAAGGACCTGTGTTAGGGGCCAGGAGGCCATTTCTGTCCCCAGCTTCTGCTCGACAGTCAGGCCATGGCGAGCCCTAAACCGGGCAGCTGGGAACCTGGCCTGGGTACCCTGTTGAGGTCCTTCCCTGCTCCTGCATCATCACGCACAGACTGAGCGGGCCGGGGCTGGCCCACTAGAGCGGTATCAGGGTGAGGGCAGGAGACCCAGAGCACGCACGTGGCAGAGGCGGAGAGGGCCACTCACGGGTGCCAATGGTCATGCGCAAGAAAGGCTGGATGTACTTGGGGATGACGCAGAACACCTGGACCACTGAGAGCAGAGGCTGAGCGTCAGGGCAGGGGCAGAGGCCCGGCCGGCCCCTCCTACCTGCAGACTCAGTTCCCATAGGGTCTTCTTGATCTTTTGCTTTTCCTCTTGGCCTCCATATTTGCTCAAAACCTTCTAGCCTCAAGGGCCAGCAGGTGGCATGGCGGTAAAGGTGCTGGACTCCCACGTTGGCTGACTGTGGTTCGAATCCTGGACCTGGAGGCTTGAAAATCATGCTGAGCACATGTGTGTGCATTCCCAAAATCCCAGGAGGAGAATGGAGAAGGGATTGTGGCATGGCTATCCACCCTGGGGGGAGATTTCTCACTTTCCCTCTCACTGTTTCTCTCTGTCCCTCTCTGGCAACCACACATTCTCTATGGCAAAAATCTTTGTTTTCTTTTTTTTTGGAGAGGTTTTTGCTAGAGGGCACGTGCACTCGCCAGAAAGATAGAGACAGAGAGACAGAAAGCAAGAAATCACCCCCTGGGGGGATGGCCACACCGCAATCCCTTCTCCTCCATTCTCCTCTTGGGATCTTGGGCACGCACGCACACACACCGGGCGTGAGTTTAAGCCACCGGGTCCGGGACTCGAACCACGGTCGACTACATGGGAGTCCAGCAACATAGCCATTATGCTAACTGCTGGCCCCCCTATGGCAAAAAAAAAGAAAATAATAAATAAATAAATAAAAATAATTCAGGACCAGCAGATGGCATAATGGTTATATTGCTGGTTTCCCACATAGCCAACTGCAGGTCGAGTCCCAGACCCGGCAGCTTGAAACAAGCTCAGCACGCGTGCGTGTGTGTGTGTGCTCAAAATCCTGAGAGAAGAATGGAGGAGAAGGGATTGAGGCGTGGCCATCCCCCCTGGGGGGTGATTTCTTGCTTTCTGTCTCTCTGTCTCTGTCTGTCCGTCTGGTGAGTGCACATGCCCTATAGCAAAAACCTCTCTCTCAAAAAAAAAAAAAAAAAAAAAAACCCCCAGGAACAGCAGTT